TCATCTAACCAGTGCTGTTTACAGACTGGGCAGCACTGGTCGTACCGATTGTGAGACCCAAAGGCTCAGTTCGCCTTTGTGGGGAACTTAAACAAACGATAAACCACTTTTCACAGCTGGATAAATACCCAATCCCTCGCTTAGACGAATTACACACAAAGCTGGCAAGGGGTATGTCCTTCACAAAGCTGGACATGAGCCATGCGTACTTACAATTGCAGTCGAATGAGGATTCCCAGGTATACACTATATTAATAGTTGCTTCTCAGGCGTAACCTTGGTGACCATAGCAATGGTCAGAGAAGGGGGAAGGAAGCAATTTGCAACCCAGGGTGGATTTCAAAGAGAGTGTGACTCTGTGCTATTACAGTCCACAGCAATATATTCAATGATGGATCTGAGAAGCATGACTAAATGTCTTTCCACATTGACCTCACGTATGTGCAGGTCTGCATTTGTAAAATGACACGTACCATCATTCTATTGGATTCAAAGAGTTCCTTTAACTAGAGCAGCTGATGAGAGATTGATGCATGTCGCTATCATGCTCATTTTCTTAAATTGGTCAGGATCGATGAAGTTACATGCAAATAGAATGGCTGAGCTAATAAACCACTGCTGAAATATCCAGGTTTCTCACATAGTGTCAACCACTGCTGTCAGTGAGTCACAGAGTTCATCTTCCGCCATCGTTTCAGCTGGAGGTCAACTGTGCAGCATAGCAGTAAATGAGGTGAGCTTCAAACTTGCGACTTACACAAGCAGAAATGAGACTGTATTATGGAACTTTTGATACTAGAACTCAACATTCCAGCTGTTTAGTACTGGAACTGGAACAAAGAACTGATTGAAATAAAAGGCATCGCAAAGCGTTTTAATCAAGCCAAACCCACATATTTCAGAACAGGATGTTCTGCACAGCATTCATAACAACTCAACATCAAAGAAAAGGGACAGCAGTTTGTCAGTGGACTCTATTGATTTTGTTGTTCCTGCAAATTTCCACCATTAAGTGAGTTTACTTTCAAAAAGATGAACTCACTGTTATGATTCATGATCCAATTAATTTCTCACACTCAAAGTGGTTAAAACACTTGCTATAGCACTTGTAATGGCTGTTGGATCTACTGTAAATGAACATGAGTTAAGATAATATTCACAGCATGCTTAGAAAGGAAAACTAAAATTTTGAGATGTACATTGCAGAAATTTGCATCTCTAAATTAATATTGTTTGCATATTTACATGTATTTTTCCAAAAAAATTGAATGGAGATAATTTTCTTGTGATTAAATTGTGAGGATGTGCAGGAATGTGGAGGTTGAGATGTGTACCAATAGGAACAGGTT